TATTAGGAGATTATGAGTTCAATCCTAGCTGATGCCACAGCTGGAAGCCCACAAGCCCAATGCCCTGATTCAAATCATGCACTCATGATGCTGCAGTATACAATTATGCATGCACATGTGGCTGCAGGGTGTCCCATTTCTCATTTTGGGGATAAAAGGGGTGGTCACCAGTATCCCCTGTGCAACCTTACCATGGACCTTGATGAAGACCCCAGTGATGACAGCAACTTCTTATCCCACAATTCCTTGAGATACACGCAAGGATCTATCAGTTTAGGTGATTTTGTTTACAGCTTTCTGGACGAACATGGTGGAGATGAAGATATTAAGATGTGAGTAATTGTGCATTTGTTTATTCATTTAACTTGTCATTAGATTGCATTGTGTTTATAATCTCAATTGACAGGAGTACACACACAAATCAGTCCCAAGTGCATGTGTTTAAACCAAGCACCCTCAAGGTTTCTTGCCCAATAGGTCTGCACATTGTTGGCATCACCAAAGTGTGGACTTTGAGAAGGACTGCAGGGCTTAGGGCACCATTTAGGACTCAAGAGAGAATGATGTGTTCAAGAGAGCATAATTGGCCTCACTCTCTCTGGGTGAGTAGGATGGACATGCCTTTAGGGCAGTACCCCCCAGAGCTTGTCATAGAGTACACTGTACATTTTATATTTTTCCTGCTCCCAACACACCTTATTCAACTAAGCAGCTGGGTGTTTGAGAGCAAGAAAACATGAAAATGTGCCAGGCAGGGGGCACTCTGGGATCAAGGTTGGGGACTTATGCTTTAGGGAACCAAAAGTGGTTCTTCTATGGTTCCGTTTCAGCACCTTTATCTTTGTGTAGAATGTAGAATTCATTTATAAAATGTAAGCAATGCCACAGCCATATGCAGCCAGGAGTCCGAGAAAGCATAAATGGCCTTGCAGTTTCTGGGTAGGTACGATGACCCTCCCTCTCCCCCATCACTCAGCGTAATGCTAGCCAACGCGGTATCTGTTAGCTGATGTAAGAGAATTGGCAGTTAGCATTCTCTTCCAAGTCTGTTGAGCAATCCAATGATATGATGTTAGCCACAGTTCAAACAGAATGCAGTGGCGCTTCACTTCTTGGAGTACGCATGTGCTAGCCTTCACTCTCCCAGGTTGATAGCACTGTGTGAAAGGAGAAGACCTAGCTAGTGGTTGGAACTGACCATGACTAAACTGGCGAGAAAATCAGTTTTTTTATACTCCCTTGGGTGTATCCACATTACAGAGAACAAGAAAAAGAGAGATAAAGACTGAGAGAGAGTAAGAGAGCAGGTAGGGAACATTGTGTTCTAAACAGATGTAAGGTGTTAAGCAGCCTCCCCAGACACCTACCCCCCCGCGTGCTCATGCCTCCACCTCCTTGAAGGGCCAGACTGAAGAGCAGTGCACTTACAGTGAAGCACGCCGCCCTGTGAAACAGAGCCAACACAAACCCCGCTACCGAACTGATCACACACACAAAATGTCATGTGTGACTCGGAGCTACGCTTTCTGGATATAGCTCTGCCTTCTATTTTTCCCTGCTCTCCTTTGTTGTCTCTGGCAGCAGCTCTATGGCCAAGCCAACCCAGGTGTTAGAATGTATTTTAGGCTGGAACATTGTAGAGATAAGAGAGTAATGAACACACTTTTCCTATGATCCTGTCCACATATGTGTGACAGTAATAAGGCCTGTGATAAGACACATGCTTCAGCAGATGAAGGCTGTTCGGCAGGGCCGTGCCGGTTTTATCCGTAGGGAGAGCAGTCAGCTTTGATAACAAAAGGAGCAACTCTGACCGAAGCACCCTCACACAGCACGGCTATCACATGCTCCCAGCTGCTTCATTTATGAAGCACAGCAGACAGGTTATCGCAGTACTTGTACTCACAGAGAGCTCTCCAAGCCCTGGCTCCTAAATGTTCCATCAACTTTAACCTGTACACTCATTTGAATGAAATTTGTTTCAAAGCGTGCATGCCTAGATGAATCTGTTGTCACTAACTTTGATAAACAAATCTCCTATGGAATATTATACCAGACACTCCTTAGCTGGTGGCAGCAGGGTACTTTGCATATAATGACTGTGTGTTTCCAGTCACAGAATGGAATTAGCACCAAAGCAGATGGTTTTTCCAGATAGAACTTTGTGTATCTTTAACATATTTGAAAAGGACACTATGTTCATACCATGCTAAATACATCTGACGTTCTTATCAAGCTGTAACTTTCAAGTTCAAATACAATTAATGTACATTCATTATCTGTAATACATAATACATGTAAATCCACTAACATGAAAAACAGAAAATGTAGTCGCAACATGAATGGATGCATGTTTCTTTCTAAATATATGTAAACATACATATTTGCAACACAAATGCAAGGGTTATAGTTAGGGTTATTAATTGTTCTCATGCTGCCAACGCTAAAATCATTATTCATATGTGTGGTTTTGATCACTTTTTAGAAATACACTGTCATTACTTTATATGCTGTACAAAAGTCAGAGACCTCATTTTCATTTTCACCGTTAAATTTCTAGTCAAAATGGACTTGGAGTACAAATCATTAATTTTACAGAATCAGGAAAAAAACAGGAGACAGATATTTAACAGAAAATTAAATAGAAGTGCCAACAACTAAATAGGGTCAAAGTTTAATCAGTCACATCATTCAGTATTTAGTGTGTTCATTTGTTTATTACAGCTTCCTTTTTTCAGGAGACTTGCTTTCAAGAAAATCTGCACCTCCAAACCTCAGTCTTAGAAGTTGGTTGCATTTTCTTCTTCTTACCTTCCAACTAATCCCAATTGTATGTGTTCTAATGAATTTTCTTCTTGTATATTTCCTTTTCTCCATAAGGGCTTCTTGTCAGCTACACATCTTTTGAGACTCATGTGTTGAGTTGTCTTCTCACAGTGGAAAGATGGACAGAAACACCTGTGGATTCTTTCAGATCTAAAGTAAGAGTGGAGCTTGAGTTTCTCCTATTTCTTGAACATGAAAACTTTAAGTTCTGTTTATCTGATGGTGACAGTTTTGGGGGTCTACCGAGACCAACTTCCATTTTCTCTATATAATTTTTTTAAACTCTACTTTTCCAAACAATTGTTTTTACACTTATTTTCCTTTGACATTCCAATTCTTTATTAACCTGAATTATCTTACATCCACTCACCTCAGAAATATCCTCTTTAACCATTTTAGGTGCACATGAGACAGAATTTTGCAGGGCGGCTAAGGTGTGTTTGGGTAGTTGCTTGTGTGAATGTTATTCTAAAGGGGAACACAATATCAGTGACATCTTTGTTTGGAGGACACATGTTACTCTTTGGTTTTAAGATTGGAAAAGTGAAAAAAGTGTAGTAGAGTGCATGAAAGAGTGGACAAATTAAATACTGATTAATTTAATGTGATATTTAATTGTTGAGGTTTTTATGTTAATTTCTGTTCAATATATGTTTCCTGCTTTTTTTTTGTTTTTATAGCTTAATGAGTAACTAGACATTTTAACTGAAAAAAATGACTAAATAAATAAAATAAACACTAAAATTGTAAAAAAAATTACAATAGAATTTTAACAGTAAATTTTACAACTGAATTTCAACAGTAAATAAACAATACATTATACATTTGTGACAAAGATGGGTTTTTGTCCACAATAAATATTTAATTCTGCTGAGCACTAAGATAACCATTACTAAGTTTCTACTTTAGCACATACATAAAAAGAACATGAATACATATATTACATAACATATACATTATGTAATACACCAATCAGGCGTAACATTATGACCACCTTGTTTCTATCCTCATTGTCCATTTTATCAACTCCACTTACTAAATAGGTGCACTTTGTAGTTCTACAATTACAAACTGTAGTCCTTCTGTTTCTCTGCATACTTGTATATATTAGATTACATAAAATGCAATCTGATCCGCAGTCTGTTTGGTCAGACTAAAGAGTGTGACGGCAGGCCTACAACAAATTGTGAACCTGTCATTATCCCAATGTAAAAAACTGGAATTAGACAGAAACAAACAGAATACTCACCAAACAAGATGGGTTGTGAAATGTTTTATAGACTTTCTGGAGCAAAACAACATTCATGGTAATTTGGCAAATATTGAAAAAGCTGAGCTGAACATGATATTGAGAGTGTCATAGCTTTATCTGTAACAAAGAAGACTATTACTTTTTTAGCAGAAGTAACTGCTAGTATTAAAGCGCATTTGATATTATGCTCCTTTGCATCATTTTTTCTTTTGTTTTAAAGAAATGCTGTATAAAACTATAGAACACAAGGTTATCCCAAATAACTCTCATGCTCTGTTACTTAAATAACAGTTAAAACAGGTGATGCTTTTCTCTCCACAGGAATTTAAACACCTAAGTCTCTTTTAGTGACTGACATTGAAATGTAACGTCAATCTTGTCACCACAAAAATGGCTGAAAGGAGAAAGTCAGACTCTAGATTACACATAATAAAACCAAAGTGGCTATTTAACGCTATTAAGACGAAGAATGTAAATAAATCTTCCACTTCCTTCAAATCGATGTTATCATGGCTGGATTGCACATGGTAAATTAAACAATTGAATTTATTCAAATTTGACTATAAAACTTTGCAATAAAACCTTAAATGTAAATGTCAAGTGATATGGGAAAAAAACAAGTTTGAATGTCAGATGTTACTGGTGTGCTTCAAAGCCATGTTGTGAAAATATCAAAAAGCAAAAGGAAATATCATGTACTACTTTAAATATGCAGAAAATACATTTGAAATGCTGGAGTGGAAGTTTGTTGTATTAGTCTGGCTGTTTTTGTGGCTGTACAATAAGCCTGTTCAAATGTAGAGCAGCCTTCACCTCTTGCTTCAGACCAGGCAGCTGATTGGCTACAGATCAGCTATGATGTCATCACAGAATGCTATAAGGGCTCTGACAAATAGCCTAAGAGCCACATTCAATGGAGCACAACCCAGCAGTACGCCTGTATGTGTGAGAGGGAGGGGATTAGAGCAAGCAGGAGCAACAGAGAGTCCGAATGAAAGTAAGAGAGAGAGCAAGAGACAGCATGTAAGGAACGATCGTATGAGGGATAAATCTATAAACTTGTGAAACTCTCCAAAGCTAAAGCTTTCTTAGTTTGCATGGGAGGAAACCAAGACGTGGAAATCTATTTATGAGGTTTGTGAATCATTTCCTTTTTTACACTTGATGATTTTATTAGTATCTGCTTGCTTTTTTTTTTAGATGTTTTGCCCATACATACCCGTTTTTCTTTCTTTCTTTCTTTCTTTCTTTCTTTCTTTCTTTCTTTCTTTCTTTCTTTTCTCAGATCATGGAAAGCACACAGAGCACTGACAACTCTAACTCAACCATTTACACAGAGCTACAGATGGTGCTGCTCGGCACAGCAATGTCCCTGCTGGTCCTAGCCATTGTTTTTGGCAATGTTCTAGTGATCACAGCCATTGCCCGTTTCCAGAGGCTCCAGAATGTCACTAACTGCTTCATCATGTCGCTAGCCTGTGCTGACCTCGTCATGGGTCTTGTGGTGGTCCCCTTTGGTGCCATCCACATCATCCTCAGTACTTGGTACTTTGGCAGATTCTGGTGCGATTTCTGGACAGCCACTGATGTGCTCTGCGTAACGGCAAGTATCGAGACGCTCTGTGTCATCGCCCTGGACCGCTACCTCGCCATCACCTCACCTTTCCGCTACCAGTCCATGCTGACCAAGTGCAAAGCTCGCATTGTGGTTTTGCTTGTTTGGATCATCGGTGGGCTTATCTCATACCTGCCAATCCACTTGAAGTGGTGGATCTCCAAAGAAGAGGAGGCAGTGCGATGTATGAACGACACCACATGCTGCGAGTTCCAACCCAACCAAACCTATACGATCATCTCCTCCATCATTTCCTTCTACATCCCTCTGGTGATCATGGTGTTTGTCTACAGTCGTGTGTTCCAGGAGGCCAGGAAGCAGCTGAAGAAAATTGACAGGAGCGAGGGTCGTTTCCACCACAACGGAGGTCACCAGGAGGTTAGTAGCACTGGAGGAGGCAGCGAGGTCCGGATCGTCAAAAAGCCCAGGTTCTGCCTGAAGGAACACAAGGCTCTAAAGACTCTGGGTATCATAATGGGCATCTTCACACTGTGTTGGCTTCCATTTTTTGTGCTTAATGTGGTAGTGAGTATCCATAAGGTGGACAACATCAATGTACCATACAGAATCTTAAACTGGATTGGGTACGCCAACTCAGCCTTCAATCCGCTCATCTACTGCAGAAGTCCAGAGTTCAGATACGCCTTTAAGGAGATCCTATGCATGAAGAGGGCACGTTATCCCAACCTTAGGCCATTCAACGGATATAAATACAGTGGGCACAGCTGGCAGAGTGAGCACCAGGGACGGAGCAAGTGCAGCTCTGAGGACAGTGACCCAGCTGAAGGGGGCTGTGAGAAAGAGGCATGCATTTCTGTAGGTAGGACTGATTCTAATGGGAACTGTAATACAAACATCACAAGTGTACCATGAGTCACTTCATAAGCCCCAACACATTCCACTGTGACTGATATGCCAAAGAGATAAGGCATAAAAAAAGCTACACTTCACGTCATTCTGGTAAGTGTCCATGGGTGGGGTAGGGGCAGGACAGGACAGAAAAGGTGAAGAGTACACATTTTCATATTTAAGTTTTCTTAAGAATAAGTCTGTTTGTTTTTTTATCATCTACCTCACTATGTATATTTTTCCACTTCTCCATTTGTTTTTACATGTTTTATTTTTGGCTTCCATGTTGTGCCACTCTAAGCCACAAAAAAAAGAAATGAAACTGCTGTAATGTCCGTGAAAAAGTGCAAAAGAAAATTCTATATACAAACTAGTGCCTGATAAAACATCCAATTTGCCCAAATATGATAAAAGATACATTAAAGATAAAGAAAAAACAGCAATAAATCTGATATGTGGTCAAACCAATATACAGCTGGTGCTGTTCTGTAGCCTTTTGCATTCATTCCTATTTGAGTTTTTGTACAATTCACAAGATTTCTGATCTAGATCTGTTTTTTGAATGCCAAACTGCCTTATTATTTGCTTACAAAATTAAAGATCCTCCTCAGGCAGTATTGCTAGCAAATTGTATGATTTCTCCAAAACAAGATATGGCATATGTCTGCTAACACCCAGAGTGTTGCAATGCAGTGAGGGACACTAATCTTCATACCAAATCTTTTTCCACCTGACATTTTCAATTTTCATTTTTTCTTTCTTTGTTTAGAGATCTGTTCATCTCAGTTGGAAAATTACCAGTCACACTTATCACAAAATGAGAGAGGAAAAAATACTACTGTTGCTGTACTGTAGATCTGTAAAAGCAGCTGGCCAGTTTCATAAACAAGGTGCTGGTCAGCTGCTTCTACAAATCTTAGTGAAGTTGAGGACCAAATGACTGATGATGTCAGCCCTTACTCTTCAGGAGAATGCCAGTGTCTTATAAAGATTTTTCACTGTTTTAGCACATTCAGTGTGTAAATAATTGGAAAGTGACACAGTTTTTTTTTGTTTTGTTTCTGTTCTTTAGCACATTGGAGTTAACAATAAGGGACAGGTGCAGAATGTCTGCTTACATTTGATGTTATCTATACTGGGTGAACCTTCCCTTTACATAACCACCCATCCAGTTTCAAGGGACCACAAGTGGTTGGAGAAATCAATATAAACTTGTGCAAAGTTGGCAAAGGTTGCATATCCAGTCGACCACAGCCTGAAATCCACAACCCCTAGACATCACCAGACACTGTCACCTTTGATATCTTCCCTTGCTTTGCTCTGCCAGGCCTGTTATGCAACCATTATTTATTAATGCTAGTTTTGGGCACTTCTTGCCATCAGTCTTCATAGTTCCTTTAGGTTTTAGACATTTGGTTGGATCTGAGGAGTTAAGATGCTTCTGGTTACATCAGAATTCATCCTGCTGCTGCCATCAGCAGTCACATCATCAGTAACTACAAAGAAGCAGGTCCACCAGCAGCTGTACATGCTCCGTCCACCATGGCTTACAGAATGTTCATGCTTTGGACAATGAAAAAGTTCCTTTTTCCTTCCAATTTTCCTCCATTGCTCAAATTACTCTTAATCCTGTCTGTTTATAACTCTACAAATGTTTTTATGGATTTAGCCAGTCATTTCTGTATTGCTGTTCTTAAGGTTTACAAGTAATTTCCATCTTGTAGGAAACCCGCTAAGGTCAGGTTGTATTCTTCTTTAATTTTCTTGATCTGTATAACAGTTCAGCATTTTTTTTGAGCAAACTCCGCCTTCATGGTGCTCCTGGATGTTTGCTACTTTTACATAAATTTGCATCCTTACTTTGTAACAAAGTACAATGCTGGTGATACATCCAATGTTTTAGCCATGTCACCTTTGAATTTGAATATGTCTAGAATCAACTCTATACATTTTTGTTACCTTTCAATTCATAATATGATGATACAACAACATAGATATCCAAGAAACATCTGGGAAGCCAATTGTCTAATTAATTGTCCTTTAAATGTGAGGTCTGTGTATGAGAGGTCATTCCTTCATGGGACTAGATATATCTTTAAAAAGCTGTTATTTGGCACCTTAACCTCACAGACATGTTTAAGTTCAAGTCTAATGTGCTAATGTACATATCCAAAATGTAAAAAAAACTGTGTGCAGTTACCGAGCAACTACACTGTAACTTCAGCTATTTACTATTTTTACTGTTACATACATCTGCTAGAGCCACTCAGATACTGGCTGAGCCGCAATCCTTTTTTTCATGTCATTTTTTAATCTCCCTCTGTGGGCACAACTAAAGAGGCTGCCAAATCTTGACTGTTTCCCTCCAGGGAACGTTCTGGACCTTCTGCAGTGAGAAAGGTCCAACAAAACAACGTATAAATTCCCCAAACGGTGTGTTTATCTAAGACATGATGTAACTGCCAAAACATTATGCGGACAGATAATTGAATTAGGAGGTACTGAGTTTCCTGTCTGTAGGTGATGATGGGTTTAACTAATGTAGACAGAGCATTGAACAGACCCCCCACACATGCCCTGACAAACTTCAGAGGACATTTAGCCTAGTGTTCTACGTATGATGAGGAAAAAAAAAACATGTTTGGATATTTACTGTGCCATCTGAAAATTCTTTGTGAGCTTTTAAACTTTGCTCATGTCTGTTAATCACATTGAGGCCAACAAGTGACGTTGAAACTGTGAACTGTGAAAATTTCCTGTACTGTATTGTGGCTTGTCTGTGGTCTTGTTTGCGTGGTAATGATTTGTGTTTGAACATGTTACCTTTGCTCCCTGCATATGTTTCCACACATGTCCACATGTGCTCATCCTGATAACACCTTAAGATCAAATAGCAGCCGTAGTTTTGCAAAATATAATAAGCTGTGCATTTTTTTTCTAATGGGATGTGTTGTGTATATTAATTATGACTGAGATGAATTTGCCATTACTCTGGAGACCGCACTGTAACACAGAGAGTATGCATGCAGTGTGTGATATGTGCAGATTTCTTAGCGCCATTTAGGAGAGTGAATGTGTCAGCTTGCACTGCACCCTTCTGGCAATGTTGCTCTCTGCAGATTGCACATGCTACATGCTGATGTTAATGTCCAAGCCCTAAACAGTGTGTGTAACATCAGTAACTAAATATAACCTACGATCATTGCGTAGCTTTGAAGATGGAGTATAGCCTCTTGTTAGAGTTCAGCATTGTCAGTGTGTACCTTACATATTACAAGTGCTCAAGTTTGACAACATCCAGTTGACATATAACCTTATAGGGGAATTATGAGCAGTCCGATTTCAGATGAAATCATTACAGCCTGGCTTTTCAAGGCCTTTTTTTTCATCAAAGCTTTAAAAAGTTGGCCATATCAGACATATTTCAGATCCATTCTGTCTTTGAAAGTAGATTACCCTTATTTGGCTATCTGTGTGGGAAAATAATAAAATAATGCAGTATTGATGATATTATGTAAGGACTGCATACCACAAAAACAAAAAGAAATATGATACTCAGATAAACCTATTGATATTTTTGGTCCTTTAAATTCTTTTCCTTGGATACTATGCTGCGCTCATGACAACTGGGAACACGGAGCCACATGAAAGCATTCATGTAGCTGTTTGAAGCTGGAAAAATAAATGGATGCTCACAGTAATCTACAGCTTGTTTGGCTGCTGTGGGCTTTAATAAAAGTTTGTTAAAAAGCTTTTGCAGTGGAATCAACTAGTTGACAAGTTAGTGCTTCATGCAATTTAAATGTAGATGTAGGCTGTGGCAATTCACTGTTAATATTGTACCAAAAATCTCGTATAGATTGACTTAATCTTGTTATTATCCAAGTATCCCCTTGCATTTTGAAATATCATGCACAAATAGCATAACGTCACTGTTGGAACAAAACATCTCCAGCCTCACATCTCCAAAATGGTAACTTTAAAGGAGTAAGAAAAAACTTTTATAAGTACTTATGCACTTTTTTCTATTGATCCATTGATCATGAAATTTTTACTCAAAGTAAAGGTCAGCTGGCATTTTTGAATTATGCAAAAAATAAAACAAAAAAACAAAACAAATGGTGATACATGGTTTTGCCGCAACAAGAAGAAGCTCAGAAGTCTGTACAAAAGCTTAAAGCACTTTTTTTCTATCCACTTTGTTGACCTTAGCTCTGGAATTGCAACTTGTAGAAGTCTGAACTCGAGTTCAGTCTGAGTTGGATGGCCATTCAAATTGATTTTTCCTACTTTCCAGTCCCCACTTGGTCATGAGAGCAGCACTATATTGGTACCTTATGTTAGTACAAAATAAAAGTTACATGACATGCAGACTTTAATTTTGTACTTGCATTATGTTGGTACTTCATGCTAGTACAAAATACTGTCATGAACTATATCATCAGCACAGGCAATCTAGAACTTCAATTTACACATCTGTAGATGTCTGTCCAAAAGGACAAAAAACTGCTCACGTTAGTATAAACACAGACTACAGACCACGGTTAGATACTCGTGCACCACGCTCCACAGACCTTCCCAAATCTGCATAATTTGTGGCATGTGTACAGTATTGAGGATTGTACCAGTTTAATGTTTACTTATGTTTCTCCTCTTGAGCTACTTTCGCACAAGAGTTATCACTGTTTTGTTTGAAGTATGTTTTAAAATGTCTGTTGTCCAGTGCTATTTATGACTTTAAAATGTTATGGCTTTTGTATTCAATAATAAATAATGTATTTCATGCACTCCATGAGGTGGTGACTCTTCTTTGGTCTGGATGGATAAATGGACTAGTAAATCATGACTTGCCAAGTTCATTTGTGAGGAGCAAAGTAAGTGGATAAATCTCACACTACAGAAAACAAAATTAAGCTTGTGTCCAGCTAGCATTTTAAGGGTCTGTTTTCTCACCGTAGCAATTTCAAAATATATTTCACTACTGCAGTGCTGAGAATTGACTGAGCAGTCTGTGACCGTTTAGGGTCATGACAAAATATTTGAAGTGGTGTTATTGCTCCTTGTGGGATGTGCTATTCAATTCCCATATCAAAACCCCCTCTCTCTCAGCAGGGAGTCTGTTGCTGCTACACAGCATTTGCCTCACCATGTAGAAGAAAATCAGTCGGATTTATCAAACCGCATACAAGCTTTATCCATCACCCTTCCATCGAAACATTCTCCCCCTGAAGAATTAGACTGCAGCGTTTGCAGGCGGTGCTCAAACTGAGCTGTGTCTATTTCAGTATGGGAAAGCGAGCCTGAAGCATGTGATTGGAATGGGCCATGATATTATAAAATGTTTCCATTCTGAGCTGAACCTTATTCCTTTCCAGGATTCCATCAGGACTCATTCTCATTCGGCTCACCCCTCTCATTTTACTACTACAGCTTGGAATCAGTAAATCAGGTGCCACATAAATGTCTAGAGGTTTGGCTGAGAAACATAAGGCAAGACTTTTTTTAAGATACAAGATCCAGTGGTTTAGCTTCTGGGTATGCAGGGAATGCACTTGCATATGGGCCCGTGCCATGGGAGGCCTGCGAATTGCCTTAGATTCTTATGTTATTAATGTATAATAGCTTCTGCTATTCTTCAAGACATCTGATAAACAAGGAGAGGCCGGGGGTGGTGTGGGATGAGAGGTATAAGAGGTGCAGAGCAGCTATGCGCAAGAAAACCATCAAAAAAACTAAGGAGCCACATAGAAGAGAATCAACAGATGAGCCCCCAAACGTCCTCCCATTCAGGAAATTTGCTATCTTCCCACAACATACAGAGCAACCATTTAATGCAGCCAATGCAGAAGGATGAATTCAAACTGTGCTATGTTAATTGGTAAAGCCTTTAATATCGGGCGCACACGGCAAGCAGAATGAAGCACAAGGTTTAGTTTGATTTTGATTGTTTTTTTTTTTTGTTGTTTTTTTTTAAAGAAAATGTACCAACAACAGCATGTACAAAAAAGTAGTTGGTTAGTGGGGCATAATGATCAGCTACAGGTTGTTGAGGCATTGCCCCCCTTAATAACTCCCTGATGCCAGGCCTGGTCATGAGCAACACAAAACGTCTTGTTTTTCATTTCTAGGCCCATGTTACTGGGTAAGAGCATTCACACAGTGCATTCTAGGTGTGGCACAGAATCTAGAGAATAGATGTGGAGCCATGCACACACCACATGCAAAACACAGTGAAGTAATCTATGAAGACCAACAAAGAAAAAAAAAAACTATAAAAATGTCAAAAAATTCACAATTCATGGCCATTATCGTGCTCTAACAAGTCTTTTAATTAAACAAATTTACTGATTTGACCACTTAACCATTTGGAAAAAGGATGATACACCTGAAGGACATAATTATAAGCACTGATCATTTCCAGTATAAACCTACTGTAGCATTCCATGGTGCAAATGCTGTATGTGTGAGTGGATAGCATTGCATACTGCAGACTGCATCACTGCAGTTGTGCAGAGTTAGTATGTGTGAAACAGCAGCACTGCAGCATTTCCTATTCATACTGATTTCCAAATATGGCCAAAAGATGAGCCTCCTGAGATGTATACAATACACTTAAT